TCTGTCCATTTGTCAGTTAGTGCTGAGGTAGAGACACCTCATCAGAGTCACTGCACATAGTCCTCATATTATTCATGAGAAACAAGTAGTCCTTGGAGAAGCACTTAGGAAAATACAAACTCAACTAATGCCAGCTGCTGCCACTATCACAGAGACTATGCTCTCACAGGTGCTCCACAATTGTTCTATCCCTCCTCCATGCTCATGTCAGTCTCAGAACTCCCAAATCCATCACTCTTGAGAAATTACTACAAATGACAATCTGTGAACTGCAGTCAGCAGACTGCAGGGCAGGGTAGGGACTACGGCTCCTGTTGATGGCTCTCCTAAACATTAGAGATTCTATATATTTCGTTTCAGAGGTTAAAAAATATTTTTTATTATATGTGTTTATGCATGCACACATGAAAGTGCACAAATGCTGTAATGAACATGTGAAAGTCAGAGGACAACTTTTTGGGAAGTCTTTAAGCTTTACAGTGCAAGCACCTTTACCCTCCAAACCATTTCATCAGTCTTGTCTCTTGGTTTTGTTTCATTTTGTTTTTTTCAGATTTATTTTTATTTCTAGGTATGTGTATGTGTCTGTGTGTGTACCAAACATATGTGGAAATTCCCAAAGGTCTGAAGAGAAATCCTGCTGTAGCTGGAAATTACAAGGGGTTGTGAGCCACCCAATATACATGGTGGAACCAAATTTGGGTCCTCTGCAAGAACAGCAAGCACTTTTAACCGTTGATTCATCTCTTTAGCCTCTAATTTCTTGGTTTTACAATACAGGGTGTTAAGAAGCCCAGGCTGGCCTCAAATTCACTATTTCAGCCAGGCTGACATTGAATTTCCCATCCCTCCAAGTGCTAGGATGAAGGCATGTGCTACTATGCCTGGCTCATTACACAGTTTCTCTTTTGTTGATGGAAGCCATGCCCTTGCTCATGCTAGGCAAGCACTCTCCCACTCAGCCACACCAGAGACCAAGTCCTCTCATTTTTCATTGCCAGCCCCACCAGCCAACACTCACCATGGTGATGCCCAGCAGTGTCGGGCTGACGAGTAACACCAGGGCTAGGACTGCCCCCTGACTTCTTTCCCAGAAAGAGTAGAAGAGGTCTGCCCAGCAGATAAGCCACAGAAAAAATCCTAAGGCCTGGAAGGAAACAGAACACCATGGCATGTTATGGCAACAACCCTGGGATCACTCTGAGCAACCACAAAAAAAGTTCACAAGGACACCAGCTAACCTCCAAGGTTCTCAGATAAAGCATCCAGCTTCTTAGTCTTTCTCTTTAGACAGGGCCTCACTACATAGCCCAAGCTGACTTTGAACTCCTGGGCTTCCTACCTCAGCCTCTCAAGTGCAAGATGACAGGTGTGCTCCACAATGCCAAGTTGTCTCACTTATTCTTCATTTATTTTTATTTTACATGCATTTGTGTTTTACCTGTGTGTATGTCTGGGTGAGGGTGCCAGATCTTGGAGTAACAGACAGCTGTGAGCTGCCATGTGGGTGTTGAGAATTGAACCTGGGTCCTTTGGAAGAGCAGTCAGTGCTCTTAACCATCTCCAGCCCCGTCTCACTTATTCTTATACCCCTAGTACTTTGCACAGAATTTGACATCTAGTAATAGCTGCTGAGATGGTTCTATCCCTGCCTGACACTGATGATATTTAACAATGGAACAGCCCAATTTAAGGAAAGAAATACTAAAAAATGATGGGCAAGCCAGGTGTGGTGGTCTGAAATCCCAGCATGGGAGAAACAGGAACAAAGACAGGGGGATCCCAAGTTCCAGGCCAGCTTGGGTTGTAGAGTAGAAACCTGCCTCAAAAAAAAAAAAAAAAAAAAAAAAAAAAGTTTTTTAATTAAAAAAAGGATTAAGGAGCACAAAGGCATGGTAAATGTCACCTCTTCATAAATGGCCAAATAATAATAATGAAGGCATGTGCTACTTACTATGCCTGGCTCATTACACAGTTTCTCTTTTGTTGATGGAAGCCATGCCCTTGCTCATGCTAGGCAAGCACTCTCCCACTCAGCCACACCAGAGACCAAGTCCTCTCATTTCTCATTGCCAGCCCCACCAGCCAACACTCACCATGGTGATGCCCAGCAACGTCCGGCTGACGCTCCAACACTAGCTTTTGTTGATTATTGGTTTATGGACCATTTATACCATACTATCTTCTGAGCATCTATTGTTGTTAGTAAGTGAGCTAGTTACTAGGATAGGGGAGTGAAGGTCATGGGCTGGGATGAGCTGGGCAATAAAATTATATGTATACATGGAGAAAGCAAAGACTAAGAAAAAAAACAAATAACAGCCAATGTGAGCCTCAGGCAGAAGAACTGGCACAGGTTTTGGTATTATTCTTACAACTTCCCTATAGCCTGAAATTATTTCAAGGTGAAAATTTTTTTTGCATTAGTGTCATGTGCATGCATATGTGTGAGGATGCATATGTGTATATGGGTACAGAAGTACACTGAGGCCAGAGTTTGCTACCAAGTATCTTTTGGTTGCCTTTTACTTTATTCCTCATACGAGGTCTCTTGCTTGAGCCTGGGTGACCCTTTTCAGCTAATCTGGCTAGCCAGCTTGCCCAGGGGATGGATTCCTGTCTCCACCTCAACTTTCACATAGATACTGGGGATCCAAATTCTGATCCTCATATTGTATAGCACTTAATCCAGTGAGCCATTTCCTCAGCACTAAAAACACTTTCAAAGTTTGTGTTTTTTTTTTTTTAATAAAAAACTTTAATAAAGACCTTATGATAGTCTCCTAAGAATTTCCTCAATTCTCTGAAAAAGCTTCCATCATCCCCAGTGCACACACAGGAAAACTGAGACCATGGAGGTTAAATACTTCACCCAAAGGTCCTGTGGCCTGAGTTGTGAACCTATGTTTGGCTCCAAATCTCCAGCTTTAATTTACCACATTCTTCTGCCTTTTTCACACAAGGCTAGCCTAGGCTACACACCTACCCAGGTGCCCCACCCCACTGCAATACCAAGTGACTTACAGTTTTGGCTTTATTGAGGTGTGTCATCTGGATGTAGCCCCGGTCATGTCGGGAGAGATAGAAGAAATAGAGGGGGAAACAGGTCCAGAGGTAGAAACAAGGCACCCATGTGAGGACTGTGTTCTGAAAGCACTTGGTAAAGTCGGGGTTGCTGGTGTACCATGTGACATTCCAGTCCTGAGGACACAAGCACATGCAAAGGTCAGCTGTCATTCCTCCAGGGAACAGGAGCTCACAGAATTCAAATCCTGCTGCTGTAGGCTCAAAGAAATAGACCATGATTCCTACATCCAGGGACCTCTCACCTTCAAAGGGCCAGTGGCCAGAGAACCTGGGCAGCAAGTAGCAGGAACAAAGAACAGGTAATCCTGGGGCCATAAGCAAGTCCTCCTAGGTTCAACTGTAGCCTCCATACTGAGAGACCAAAAGATTAAAAAAATCAGCTATTATTAATATTTAAGGCCTGAATTAGCTGGATGGAGAAGTCCAGGAATGTGCTGAGGGGAAGAACCACCTTATTGCATTCTTTCCCCACCCTCTAGAGATACAGTTGCTAGGAAACTGGCCCATCCCCCTAGGGAGGGACACCAGATCATTAATGGTCTGGGGACCTTCCTATAGCCAATCAATTCAAAATGTAGCATTTTGACCAACAGATGCTTGCCAGGCAGGAATCACCTCTGCCTTGGGCATGCTGGGAGGGACCAGAATCTTTAAATCACCCAACTAGCCTAAGCATGGTGGGGGTGTGGGCCCAAGCTCAGCTTATAATGATTTATAATAAAAAGAACCTCATGTATTTACAGCAGAGTCCATTTATTCCTGGTCTTTTGGGGTTTGCGAACTGGGCAGAACAATACAATCTAGGCCAAGAGTGTTTTTAGCCTCTGAGACTTACTGCTGAATAAGACCACCCTTTCTAGTTCTTTCTGAGCTCTGACTGGCTGGTTCAATTCAGTTGTTCTAGTTCAAACTCCTCTCCAAGCTGACTGATTCAAACTGGTTTCCCTCTATTTTGACTGAATTGCTTTGCTTGACCTCATACTAAATTTAGCAATATGTTCTAATCCTCTGGCTCCTTCTCATTTTCTAGCTGGTTCTGTCTTCATCTGTATCTAGCTTGTTCTCTCTCTGCAACCTGTCTCTGTACAACTATCCCAGGAAAACTGCCTCTTCTTTCCCTTTTAAGTTACCTCTCCTTCCTTTCTATTCTCCTGAGAGTTTGACAAATCCTGTTCTGTCAAATCTTTCTCTGATTGGTCATTTTGTCTAAATTAGACATCACTTTTCAAACATGGCTGCTTCCTTCTACCAACTAACTTTACCCTCACTGTTTGAGATTAAAGGTGTGTACTAAGGGTGTGTCTACATTCCAGCCAGAGGGATTAAAGGTGTGTGCTAAGGATGTATTTGTATTCCAGCCAGAGTAGCCATGTTGCTGGATTAGAATCCCTCTACAGAGCAAACCAGTACATTCCTATGCATGCCAGTACACGTCTTTAATTCCAGCAGCTACAAAGCAGAGACAAGAAGGTGGCCCCTGAATTTGAGGCCAAGGTGGATTTCATTAAAAAATGAACAAACCTTTCCTTAAAACCCATTTTCTGAGAACAAAAACTGAGACCCAAGCATACAACATGCAGGTTAGCATACATAGAAGCCTAATATACATAGAAGCTTGTCCAGAAATAGAAAACATCTGTACTGTTTATCAGTTATGTGTACCACGGTCCCATCTAAAATCAATATTAGTTGGGGAGACTATGGCACTGTGGGTAAAGTCCTTGCCATGAAAACATGAGGATCTGAGTTTGATCGCCAGAACCCACATAAAAAAATCTAAGTGCAGCAGTGTGTGACTGTGAGTCAGTGAGAGTGAGCTGAAGAGACCCTGTTCTCAAAAACTAAGATGCACAGAAATCTCTACATGTACATGCATGCCCAGTGCATGTATACATGTACATACACACAAAATTATCACCATCGAGCTGGGCACTGAAGTGCATACCTGTATGACTCCAGCACTTAAGAGGGTACAATAGGAAAATGAGGGGTTCAAGGCCAGCCTAGACAAAAAGTGTTTTACAAAATAAGTAATAAATACTTAAAATCAGCCTAAAGAAGACACAAATGGCTAGGCAAGAGCATTTTCTTAGGCAGTGAGTAAAGAAAGAGACCAAGCAGCTGTTTGGTTGGGAAGGTGGCCTGAAGCCAAAGAAACCGGAAACTAGGTGTTTGGAGTTATAATCTTTGGTCTTGTTTGGACTTTTCTCTCTGCATGTGTTGCTTCTAAAATACCAGCAACAGCTTCAATGCACACTTAGTAAACAAACAGCAGAGAACTGAAAGGGTAAGATTTCTGATTTGGAAACAAACCAGAGAGCCAAAGACAACAGCCAGTATAGCCATGCAGGCTGGGAACTCTGGTTCTCCTAGTACCAGGCTCAGCTTCCCTCCTATTGAAGTAACTAATGAGAACATCATTTCAGCACTGGGGAGGCTGAGGAAAGGGGAATGCAAGTCCAAAAAAGCAGTTGAAAAAGAAAAAAAGGCTGGGGGCTGTAGCTCAGTCAGTGGTCTTTATCTAGCACATGAGTCCTTGAGTTCAATCCCCAGATTTGTAAAATGGAAAGAAAACAAAACAACAAAATCCCACTTTGTTCTTTTCCAGATAAGGGCTGTGAAGACAGGATGCTTAGATTATTCATATACAATGCACATGAATAGAGACCCAGGGGTCTTAACCCAAGTTTCCATCTCTGATCTTGAAACTCAGTCCTGGGGTGCTGAGGGCTGCAACACCCCAACTTGCATCAACCTATATATAACAGCTCTCTGGGACAAGATGGCACAAAGATAGCCAATAAATACCCTTTGGCTTTACAGAGCACAAGTTAACCTGTGCAGAGCAGACAAACCATGTACTGGCTCAGACTTGTGAATTCTCCAAAAACTGGCCCTCAGCAAGAATGAGCAGTGGCAGAGATGACAAGAGTTGGACATGGTCTGAATCAGAGTCTAGTTGTTCACAAGTAGGCTGAGCATAAGGGACAACATGCAGGATAAGAGCTGGTACAAGCTCAGGGGTTAGGCTAGCCAAGATCAGAGACAGTAATTTGAGAATAGCTCTTTGTACAAACAGACTATATGCCAAGTGCTATGTTCAGGAGAGGCAGCTGACCTGGGATGTTCTGAGCTTCAGGACACAGATCTACTTAGAAAAAAGCATGGGGTGTTGTTTCCTATTGCAATCCATGAAGATTGGGAGGCTAGAGTCCCAATATAACATTAGGCCCAGGGTCAGGAAAGGCTCTGGTGACCTGTTGGCAGAAATACCACCTGTCTGATGCCAGCTGAGCTACCCTGCTACGCCCTCTGACTCATTAGAACTAAGAATAAAGCCCGGAAACACTGACTTAGGCACAGACAGACTTTGGACCACCAACGGGAACCAGGAAATGGTAGAAAATAGTCCCTAGTCCCTGTCCTGGAAAGGCAAACATTCAAATCCTCATGCCAGACGTACAAGCCAAGCACGTAAAAAAGCAAGGGGAACCCCTCCCTTCTCCTTTCTCTGGCACCATCAGAGGCTTGGAATTTGGAGGAGGTCAAACATGTACCAGGAACAGAACAGAGACAGGAAACAGGCACTTATATTCCCTAGCATCATTCCTTTCCTAAGGGTGAGGAACAAGCACTGAGCCACAGGAATGAAAGTATGTTATTTTGGTTTATTGGTGCTCAGTATCAAACCTAAGGCCTCACATAGACTAGGCAAGCCCTCCCTCAATGAGCCACACTCCTGCCCCTTAACTTATGATTTAAAACAATGCTTTTCAAACTAGGGGCCAGTCTGTCTTTCAAGTGACATCTGACATTGCTTGGAAAGATTTCCGGTTGTTACAGTGAGGTTATCAAGGGATTGTGCCACTGGCATGTTATGAATAGAAGCCAAGGATGTTTAAACAAGCCCAATACACAAAGCAAGCCATATGACAAACCTGAATATCACCAACGCTGACTGACACACTCTATCTGATCACCCCATCCTTGACAGAGTCCACATTCCTGCAAAGACACTCCTTATCAGGCACCCAGGCTTCAGCCCCTTAGACACAGGAGAAGCTCTAAAATACTAAACTAGACACATTGAGACCTTCTGGCTCCCTTAAGGAGTGATGGGAAATAGTTCCTCTCCTGGACAAGAAAACACCCCATATCCTCATGTCTGATGTGCAGACCAAGCACATGGTGAGGCAAGAAAAGAGCCCCAGACAAGAATAGGCTGAAGTATCATTAGAACCTGGAGAACAGGAGCTAGCAAGAAGATGAACACTCCTCAAACTGGGTCCTCCTTCAGTATGAGCCCAGGCACACAACAGCCACCTGACTTCCAGACCTACCTCGTATTCTGCCCTTCCCACATTTGCCAGCCTCACAGGCCCACCAGGCATGGTAGAGTAGGTCTGCAATCACAGTTCTTAGGAGGTTTTGGCAGGAAAATCCTGAGTTCAAAGACAGCCTGAAGTACAAAGCATGACCCTTGTCTCAAACAAACAAGAAGATATGCCAGGTACACTGGGAAAGGAGGCAACAGGGCATCCCCAAGATACCTGGGTCCTGTACCCAGATCTCACAGCCTGAGAGACTCAAGAGATACAATTAAAAATCTTTCAATAGTAGGGCTAGAGAGATAGCTCAGTGGGTTAAGGCACTTTCCACGAAGCCTAATGAATGACCTTAGTTTAATCCTTGGGACCCACATGATGGACAGAAAACCAACTCCTAAAAGTTGTCATCTGACCTCAACACATATGCAATGACACACATGCATGTACAAACATAAAGTAAATAAATTTAATAAAAATGTTTAAATAATAGATCAGCCCATTAGGCCATGGTCCAGGTGGCTCATGATTTACACAGGAATATCAGAGTCAGATGACATGTGATATCATATGGCTAGTGTTATGGGTCACAGGCCTCAAGCCTCAAAGACAGAGGAAGCTGCTGGAAACTAAAAATACCAGGACCCTAAGGCAGATTGACTCCTATTCTAGACTCAACTGCAGATGGAGAGAAGAAGTGTGTTGTTTCAGCAACAAGTGTACACTGTCATCAGTACCACAAGCAATGACAGTAAGCACTAAAAGTAGAGCCAATGACACACATGCCTA